CATATACACAATGGAATATTATTCAGCCATAAGAAGAAAACAAATCCTACCATTTGCAACAACATGGATGGAGCTAGAGGGTATTATGCTCAGTGAAATAAGCCAGGCAGAGAAAGTACCAAATGATTTCACTCATATGTAGAGTATAAGAACAAAGAAAAAAGTGAAGGAACAAAACAGCAGCAGAATCACAGAACCCAATAATGGACTAACAGTTACCAAAGGGAAAGGGACTGGGGAGGATGGGTGGGAAGGGATGGACAAGGGGAAAGATGGGGCATCACGATTAGCACACATAATGTAGAGGGGAGGGCACAGGGAGGGCTGTACAACACAGAGAACAGAAGTACTGATTGTATAGCAACTTACTACACTGATGGACAGTGACTGTAATGGGCTATGTAGTGGGGACTTGATGATGTGGGTAGTCTAGTATCCATAAAGTTGCTTGTGTAATTGTAGATTAATGATACCAAAAAATAATAGATAAAATAGTAATAATAAAGGCTAAAATACTGAGTGAATTTGGCAAAATACACTTTAAAATGACTTTTTTGGAGGTTGGGGTGGGTATAAGTGATGAATTTGTATTTATGAGTCTCAGTTTTGCCTATCAAGTCAAATTTATTTGAAAGACTAAATTACCTTGGAGGTAATCATGAATGTAAACAACATATTGGTATATGTAATGTAATTGCTAGACCAGTGGCTATAAGGCAAAAGTAGAAAGTGATACTCTCTTTCAAATAGAGAGTTATTTTAATTTAATTGTATATTTTTGCCAATGGGAAAGTAAAATAATAACAACTTTAAAATATTTTCCTTGAAGTTGGACATGAAAACAAAAATGATGGAAGCTAAATGTCATGAAGAGAAACTTAAACTGCAACAGAAACATGATGCTGATGTTCAAAAGGTAGGGAATATACCATTTACTCTCTTATTAATATTGAATATGTGACATATTCTAAGTCTTGTGATCATCTATCCAACCACCCATCCATCCACTTATTATGTAATTATGATAACCTAGGTATAAATGGAATTTGCTAAATTAATATCCCATCAAAAATTGGTCTTTCAATTTCACTTGCTAAATAAATGTGCAAATACTCATCACCTAACATCAGCTTTTAGTTTTTCCTCATCTATTGTTTGAAGGCTGGCCTTCTTATAATCCTATATCTGTACTGTATCATTACCTTTCATAAAAGGTGAAATGCAACATCAACTGTAAATACTAGAGTTTGTTGTGGTCTAAACATGCCTTCCAATGTTTCAAATTTGTATTCTTAAATTTATTTTTCTTAATGCGCATAGCAAAAGTAATCAATTTGTGGTTATCCTAAAATGAATTTGAATTGATACTACATTGTAGTATTGATTTTAAAAATTAATTATCAATTTATCTATCTGTATACATACCTGAAGGTTGATCCAAAGAGAAACTTAGCATTTACTATTTCAAAGCTAAGCCCATAATTCGGCTGCACAAAACTGAGTGACAGAAACGATGGCAGCAAGTTGAGGCTGTAGCATCATATATTCAAGCCTTCTTAAAAGCTGAAAATATATTAATATTTAGTCAGGCGCATATTTGGCTCATCTTCTTTCAAAGCAACAAGAAAGAAACCACTGACTGAAAATTACAAAGAGGAAGATGTTGAATCCCTTTCCTTCCCCTTTCCTATTTCTCATTCACATTTTACAAGCAAATATTACTTTCTGTTCTTACTAGATTTTTACCTTAGCTTAAATTGGTTAGATACAAACAGTTCTGTATCATTAATGCTAGAGATTCAGTAATGTAATTTCAATATAACATAATATATATCCAAATGAAATAGAATCTTTGATGTTTAAGATAAATGAGTATAAAAATGTATTTGGAAAAATCATGGCAATAGAGTTTGAAATATGCTCCTTGGTATGTCCGTTACAAAGATCTATTCTAAGAAAAACATTTAATAATAAAATCCTTTCCAGGAACTTCTCTTTTTAAATAAATTCTGTGTGAAAAAAGAAAGCAATGCAACTACTTGAAGTGCCAGGTAAAATACAAATAAAATCCTTGAACTTATGCCAGATTTGGAAAGTGCATTCATCAGCTTATTGCTTATATGACATTTTCTAAGTGTTAGAAATTGGAGAGGAATAAAATTTAGAGTGTTTTCTCTATATGCATACATTACTTTCCTTTTTTGCATCTTTGTGGACATTAGGATCGTCCACCTCCCTTTCTTACTGAACATTCTTAGAGGTGGGGCTAAAACAAAGAAAGACAAAGTAAAATGCTGACAATAAGATCACTAAGAAAAATCTGCTTAGACTTTGGTGAATAACTGTTTTTAAGATGAATTTGGGCATGTATATTCAGGAAATATATGCCAACTACAAGAAAAGTGGATATTCTTACTCCTGTCTCAGTTTGATTTCTCTTCCCTTGGGTTAGCACATTTTTTTCCTGCTTTCTAACTTTCCTACAGTTTGGTTATTTTTCTAGGTTTTTTTTAAATGCAGATGTATTTAGTAATATGCAGTCATGATTACATTCCATTAAATGACTCATTTTAAAACAACAATATAAGCTAATGATGTAAAATATTCATGCAATTTTTGACTTATTTTGAGCTGACTTTTCTAATTTACAGTAGCAGAGCTAGATATAAAAGAGAACTATAGATTTCATCTTCCTATGTGTCTAGAATTCTTGTTATTGTTCTTGAAAATGAAAGGACCTTAGTGGGAGGATTCAGGGACATGCTCATCTGAAGATACTCTATTTCAGTGTAGTTGGAGATGAATTGTGCTACACCAGTATGTCATGTTGCTGAAAGCTTCTCTTTGCTACTTTATGACAGTTTAATCTCAGAATTATATTTAGAGAATCACCTAATATATTCTCCTTAAAAATGGGGACATGAAAATTCAAAGCAAATAAGATATTTCTTTCAGTACTCAATTATTATTTTAGACTTAATATTTTCTCAGTGCACTAAAGTATGATTTTTATATATATATTTGGAAACCATTTATGTGATTAGTTTGAGACAGACCTGCAGAAAATATTGTGTTCATTCAAAAAATTATGTGTACTATTCATAAAACAATATAGTATACTAAAACATTTTAAATTTATTTGCAGATTTTAGAAAGAAAGAATAATGAAATTGAAGAAATGAAGACTTTATACATAAACAAACAAAATGAAACAGAGGAGACTATTAGAAAGCTTGAAAAGAAAGGTGATGTATTGTTACATAAATATTTTAATAACATTTCTTTATATATATTATACATATAGTAATTTTACAGAAAATCAATTTTATTTCTGTATTGATAGATGGGAGTATTTATATGGCTTTCCTCAGTAGATGTGTTTATGTGGGCTTCCATATAATGAGGGAAAACTCTGTGTGTATGATGTATCTGTGTGTTTGTGTGTGGTGAAGGGTGTGTGTGTGTTTGTGTGTGTGTGTGGCAATGGTGATTATTTGGTTAAGGAGCTGAAAGAGTGCCCTTTTACTCCCTATTCTTAGCTCTCTTTCTCCTTGTTGGACATGTCTTAGAACTAGAACTTACTGGCTTCCACAAGGAAGTCTAGGAAAATCACTCCTCTTGTTCTGATAAAATTCATTACCTAAGTGTCTACTTTATGCCTTATAGTATATGCTAATATTGTAGTTGACAGAACAAACATTTAAAAAGTATTCCCCATTTACACTTTGATTACAAAGGAAAAGAAAGCCAAGTAATCAAGTGTTAGATTGACTATGATTATAGGTCAGAACATTGAAATGCAAGAGGCAGTCATTAGAGTGTTGAAAATATTTTTGGAGAAAAGAGCTTTAAAAGTTTTATAAGATTTGATTAGTTGGAGAGAAGAGTTCCAGGTATTGGCATGGGAATGTTGATATTGGAAAGCTGTAGGAGCAATGCTGTAAAACCACTTAGCTAGAGTGGATATCGTCATCACCTAACATCACCTTTTAGTTTTTAGTAGGTGACTTGGCATTACTAAAGCATGATGGTGAATTTCACATTTAGAAGTTTCAAGTTTATCCTGTAAATGCTGGGGAGTCAGATGTTTTTAAGAGGTGAGTTTTAGGTGGAATAGCCTGGTAATGGAGGGTGTGCTAAACATGGTGAGCCCATTTCCCAGTCTGCTGTGATAGAGGAAGAAGTGAGTAAGAGAGAGCACAAGTGAGAGGGAGGAACCTTTCAACTTACTGGAAAACATAGGCTCTGATTCCAGCCCTACTACATGACGTCAGGAAGTCTCTGGGCATTGGCTTACTCATTATAAAATTGTGAGGTTGGACTAGATAATATGTAAAGTCCCTTCCAACTCAAGGATGTTATGCTTCTGTGCTTCTATAATTTTACATGTAAGATGATAAGGACCCAGAATATGTGAATGATGGCAGTGGGAATAGTGAGATAGGAATTGAAGAAGAGCCTTTGAAGGGTTTGGAATATGTAAGATAAAAGCCATGACTAAGAGGAAATAGGAGAGGTTCTCATTTAGGGTTTCCATAGGGAACTCACTGACTTTCTCCCAAGCCATCAGACCTGAGCGCATCTGACAGAATAGTAATGCCTTGAAATTTAGGCTGGCAATTACATATATAAGTTAACTAATGAAGTAGGCATTTTTGGGTTTGTTTCCAACCTTAAATGTTAGTGAAAGTAATTGGAAATTTGTTCAGGTTCTTTCTTCACATATCAGTGGCTACAGAAATATTAAAAAAAATTTTTCTAGGTTTTCATTTCTTACCCTGATTCAAACCAGGTAATTTAAACATGCCTAAGGTTTAAAAATAATATTTCTTAAAGGTTTTTGAATTGCAAACAGATCTTAGTTTTAATTTTGGAATTGTGAAGTAAAATCTTGTAGCTGCTAAAGACTATTATTAGGTGCACTTTTTCTCCCCTTATATGTTAAACAGTTGAGATATAAGAGTGAAACAAGTTTCTATATAAATGTTTATGAAAATTTTGCTATCTTGAAGTAAGTAAATAAGAACATATTATATCAGTACACTAAGAAAATGTTGCATTCAGGCAAACATATGGCTGAATTTATTTTACCATCCAAATGACATAAATACATTACTTTTTTTTTCACTTAAATCACTGATGGTTTTTAATCATTTTTTAAAAAGATAGAAATTTAAATGATATAAAAAGGAAATATTTCATATAATTTAAGGCACATTTTGTTTCAGTAACATAAACCTTGACAATGTATTTAGGAGCAACAGTGTATTGAAATGATGGGTTTCTTTATTTAGTTATTCAGTACACATCTTTTTGAGCCCATGTTTATGTGACACTGTTATGCCCTGTGAATAAAAAGGTGAAATATCTTTCTCCTTAGGATGTAGGTAAGTAAACCATTATAGCACATAATATAATAAAATAATTTAATGGAGAAATGTCTGAGGTTCCCTGGAAATGAAGAAGAGTTTCTGTAAAGAAGATGATACTTGAATTGAGACCAAGAATGAATAGGAGTTTTTCAGCAGGGGAGGGAAGGGCATTCCAGGTAGACAAATGATCAGATTCAGGCTGTGATATATTAAGGGAATGGCCTCAGGAATCCACAGATAAGTTTGTGTGTTTGTAATACGAGTCTAAAAATGTGCAAGTAGCAAAAATATGGCCAGAAAGCAGTCAGGTCATGAGGAATGGTTATCCATGTCAGACGTTTTGGCCTTTACCTTTAAGGTGAGGGGAACTGTAGAATATTTTCAGTCTTGAGAGCATCTTACTGGATTTGCATTGTAGGAAAGCCTCTTTAAAGCAACAAAGGACCCACAGGAAGGCAGTGATACTGAGGCCAGCATACTGTTAAAATTGTCTAAGGGGTAAATTATGATGGATTCTACCAAGACTGTGATGGTAGAAATATGGGAAAAGAGAAGAAAGAATAAGAGATGTTTTAGAAGAGAGAATTGAGAAATGGAGAAAAATGGAATTATCTACTAACTGGTACACTGTATTTTTTATCATCAAACTCTTATGTGGTACCTAGAATTGGTTTAACTATGTTTATATCACTTTTGACAGTTCAGACCCTTATACGTGACTGTCAAGTTATCAGAGAGACCAAAGAGAACCAGATTGCAGAGCTAAAAAAAATATGTGAACAAAGTACAGAATCTCTGAATAATGATTGGGAAAAGAAGGTAAGCTACATGAAATAAAATAGTAATGGAAAATATAAGGATTTATGGTTAAGAATAGCAAATTTATAAAAATAATATTCACAGAATATACAGGAAAATATGAAAAAAATAAAAATAACTTAAAATTCTAGACTGTCTAGAAAGAGCTACTGTTCATGTTTTGGTGTGTATTTTCTTCTGGAAGTCTAATGGTATGTAATTTTCATTTAGAACACTTACCTTGGACTAATTCTTGAATTAAATTAATGTTCCGAATTTTTTGTCATAATCCATAGATTTTAAGCAAAATTAAATAGTAGCGTAATTTTTGGAAATTAACCCTTTTTAATTTTGGATTTAGTCTGTTGGATCATTTCCTTCCTGAAATTTCAGATAACACAATATTTATAGTATAACTTTTTTTGATGTAAACAAAATCAGTAGTGGATAGGTTATTCTTGGAGAAACTTTTAATTTAATTAAAAATATTTTCATATAATTTAGCAGTGCCAAGAGTAAAGTAATAAAAATACTCATTATATGTCTCACATAGTCATATAGTACCTTCAGAAAGGAGCCTTTAGCCATTAATTCAAATTACAATATATATTTAAAAGCAGTTAAATATGTTAACTTCTTTTGAGGTATCCTGCCATAAAGATCTCCAGTTAACTCATACTGAAACTCTCTCAGTTAGTCTGGGTTCAAAATATTTTACTGGGAGTTATAGATGCCTTCCCAAGCAGACATTGTTGGTTTGAAATATGTCCTAGTGATGGTGGCTTCAGGACCAGCCCGGGAGGTGCGCTGCAGATGTATTATGACGGGTTGAGTTAGCACTTTTCTAGTTTTGTTTTGTTAATTTATGTGGTTTTCCTTTTTCTGACACTGGGTTCTCTCTTTTCTGTAATGTGGCATATTGTGTTTGCTGCAGGGATGTAGTATGTAGGCCCTTCCTCCCTTTGTCTGAATTCCCTGGTTCCTTGTGTCCCAGTTTAAATTGTCAGGTATTTGAAAAGTCCTCTGCCTTCTACCATTACAAGGGTACATTTTATTCTTGCAGCTGGATTAGTACATTGTTCTTACTGTTACACAATAATTAGTGGATGTGAAAACACTGCAAATATGGTTGAAGGTCTATTTTGTGAAGTACAAGTGAATATAAATCAGAATGTAAATCAGAGATGAAAACCTGGTGCAAGCAGGTACCAAACGTTAATAAGCAGATGCCAGATGTATTTCATGATCTATGCAGTCATTCATTCAACAATGATTAAATTATCTGTATGAACAATGTGATGTGATAGATACGTGTGTGTGTATACTTCCTGGTAGAAATCTCCATCCTCCATCTCTCACTTTAAGTCACAGTTATCCAACTGCAATTTAATATCTCTCCTTGATCTAAATTTCATCATTCTCCCCAAACCTTATCGTCTTCCTTTGTTGCTAAAACAGTTTCCTCTTAAAGGTTTCCCTATTTCCCAACTGGATTGCTATTTAACCAGCTGCTCAGACTTTTTGCCTCACCTCTCACATCTAATCCCTTGCCCAGTTCTGTTCATTGTCCTTGTTTTGACTGTATTCACCACTATGCTTTCCCTAGTTCTGGGGACCATTGTCTCTTGGCTACTAGGTAGACTGTAACTGGACTCTCTGCACCCCCTCAGTCCATGCTCCACACTACAACCATATGGACGGTCTTTCTAAAACACAAATGTGGCTTACCTCACCACGATGTTTAAAGCATTCCCATGGTACCCAGTTGCCCTTAGGATTAGCAAGGGAGAAGCACTGCTTGTGTTTTCCTTTACTCACTCACTCATAATATTTCTGATATGAGATGTGTAGGTTTTCCACACATCAAGCAATTTCTTTGACACCAGCTAGATGTCCTATAATTTGATTACGTTTTAACACTATTTTCCTACAGTTAATGTCAGATCCCACAAGTTAAGGGCTTAATCCCACAAGACTGCTCCACTTCAGATGTCAGTGAGAAGTCTCAGGTTGTCACCTGTACTTCTGACCAACCAGTTATAAGTAGGAGTTCCCATGCACCCCTCCTTGGGTTCTGTGATTTGCTGGAATGGTTCACAGAACTTAGGGAAACACCTCTATAAGTTTACCATTTTATCATAAAGGATATAATGAAAGATACTGATAAACAGCCAGATGAAGAGATACATGGAGCAAATTATGTGGGGAGGGGTGCAGAGCTTTCATGCCATCTGCTGGCACACCACTCTCCCAGCACTTCCATGTCTTCACCAACCTAGAAGCTCTCTGAAGCCCACACTTTTGGAATTTTTTATGGAGGCTTTATTATGTAGGCATGATTAATCATAAATGTAAGTTTCAGCCCCCTTTCCCTCCCAGAGGAGGGAGGTGGGGCTGAAAGTTTGAAGCTTCTACTCATGGCTTGGTCTTTCTGGTGACCAGCCCCCATTCTGAGGCTGTGCAGGAGCCCACCCAGAGACACCTCATTAGAAGCAAAGATGCTCCCATCACCTAGGAAATGCTAAGGGATTTAGGAGCTCTGTGTTAGGGACCAGGGTCAAAGACCAAACACTGCAACAAACGCTGCTTCTAGTACTCTTATTACTTAGGGAATTGTAAAGGTTTTAGGAATTCTGTACCAGGAACCAGGTGCAGAGACCGATACTCATACTTTCTATTATTCACGTGTCTATCCCTAGGAGTGGAATTTTGGGGTTAGATGGTAATTCTATGTGTAAGATTTCAAGGAATTGTCAGACTGTTTTCCAAAGTGACTATACAATTAACCTGTGGGCTTTTATAATACTTTTCCTTTTATTCAACATATTCTTAGTTTCTCTGGGTCTCCTCTGGCATGAGACAACTACATGCTCCAATGTCCAGACTAAAGACTAATATGTCGGATGCTGGAAAGGCCTTTTGCACCCCCTGTACCCGTTGCCAAACCCTGGTTAAAAAATCTCCTTGGGAATTTATAGGTACCCTCATTATCAGGACCGTGATGGCATCCTTATGGCTTAATAAACCCTAGCAGGGTTTATACTTTAGATCATGCCTAATAATATTTGCTGCTAAAACGGTTTGTATCTCAGGGAGTGTTTGTCCTTTAAAGCCTCCCAGACCAATTGATCTGGGCTCCAGCTCATTGCTTGGTTTGGGAAAACTCTCAGTGACACATTGAGTCTGGTACTAATAAATTTTGTTGGATGAATACATAAGTATTAGTCATCTCCAGACAGATTATTAGACCAGATACGCCTATTTGATCCTCAAATGAATCAGCCACATTATAGCATCCTTGTTCTTGCCAGTGTCATTTTACCCTCAGAGTCTCAACTGTAAATTCCCTGGATGAGTTTCAAATGACTCAGACTGACTTCCACTCCTCTGACTCAAAGGCACAGTCTCTTTATAGAGCATTTGTGGACTGTACCTGAGAAACTGCTGTGTATTAATAGGCTACTAAATACAGTAGATTTTTAACATTCAGTAGGCATATGTCCTAGGATCTGTGAGAGACCATAAATGGGAAGAAACCGGTACAACATAAGTCTAACCACAGAATCCTAAGTGGTTCCTTTAGATCCCTTTATCAGTTACCATGCATGGCAGTCACCAGCTGTGAATCAGCACTGAAATAGATGCTGTGAGCTTGGCTGCACTCATGGACCAGCTAAGTGACTTTTGAGTATCAGATATAACAATGGTTTAAAATACTTTTGCAAAAATACAAATACAACATATCAGGGGCTTGGGGAATTACTTACAAGTAGCCAAAACTGTGTAAGTTAAATTTGTGAAACTCAAGGGTCTTCTGTATAGCCTCATTCTTCCTGTTCAGCAACAAACTAAAAGAAAAGTTCTTGGGATCCTTAATGATAATTAGCATAATTATTACCTACATTCTCCTAGTTTCCACCATCTCTCGGGGTTTTCCCTGTTCCTCCAACATCTTCCTAGTCAAATAACAGTCTATATGCATGTGCCATATCCTTGCTTCTTAACTGCTTGTGGATGGACAACAAATTTATCTTTTTGACTATTTTGGACTCCTGCCCTCCCCACCTATTGAGGGAGCCTGGGGATGGATGCAGGGGACAGAAGTTAAACTCAGAATTCCACTGCCATTAAGGTAAGCGAAGGAATGCCCACGAAAGGCTGGGAGCACATATTTTTGACTCCCTTTGGAAACTGTCCATTGAACGTTGGTTTCTTTACCTTAGCTACATAGATATTTTAGAGCTTCATCCATTTAAGTAATATACACATAATTTTTATAAAGAAAAACCAATGTACATGAGGACATATAGTACACAGTTCTCCTTAGAGAACTCTTTTTCTGTTTGATTTATAAGTGTCATCTTTTGGTCCATTTTTGTATAGATTATAGAATGGATAAAAAGTTTCTTGTTGATGGTTAAGGTGATGGAAAAAGCATTTTTAACACTACTTTTGTGTAAAATTTCATGCAAATGAGATGAAAATGCAGAGAGAGAATATTCCTAATTAATAACGGTATTATAAATACTTGTTTTCTGATTTCAGGCTAATACATATTACTTAGCCAAGGCATCATATATCTATTTGACTTATTTACTGTTTCTACCTGAGGCAGATAATTCCCTTTAATATTTGTTATCCATTAAAATTTCAGTTCAAGAAAGTAAACAAAAATGGTTTCTTAATCATGCTTTTTATATGATATCATTACTTTGAATGTTTATTTATGAGTTTTAGGCCTTTTGTTGTTTGAGTCACCATAAGAATAAATGAGAAATACAGGAAAACATTTGTTTCCTCAATTGTAAGATAATCTACTCTATCATAGCAGTGAAAGAGTCAATTATTGAATTCACTGTGTAGCTCCACAATGCTGTAGCAGAAATGGAAAAGGAAAAGTTTGATCTTCAAAAGAGGCACACTGAAAATATTCAAGAATTGCTCGAGGACACAAATGTACGTCTGAATAAAATGGAGAATGAATACATGGCACAAACGCAGTCCACAGTAAGTCTTTTTTTTCTTTTCTTGCCATTTTTAGAAACTATCCCCTTAATCTCCATGACCCCATGCTTCTCTGATGTGCAGTGCATAATTAATATGTTATAGAATTAAAACACTTCATGTTACTACTTGGTACAGATTTATGTGTGGCAGTGGACAGTCTCTTGAAATTAGCTATGGGATTTCATTCTGAAATTTTTGTGTCACTGTTTTTTTAACCCCCAGATGTCTTTACAAGTCTTTCTTGTTTTTTTCACTGAATGTCTGTGTAGAGATTATTTCTTTTCTTTCTGGTTTGTTTTTTTTTTCACTTTTTTTTTCAACGGAAGACTTGCTTGTTTTATCTGATTATATTTAATGCTAGTGTGAAGGAAATCAAACGACGAGATGGGAGAGTGTGCGCACTCTAAGATTTTTTTAGTAGATTCTTCTTGACTCAGGGACCAGACACAGTTATCACATGTGTAAACCCCCAAGTTCCCTTCCTGAAAGGATGTGAAAGGAGGTCACCATGGTACTCCAAGGAAAGACGGAGGATCTCCTACAGTGCCTCTTAGTGCCACCTCGTTGCAGAGGATAGGTCTGAGGGAGTGAAAGTCTTCAGCCTTTTACAATCTCAGCTGACTTCCTAAAATACATCTACCGTAACAAGTAGGCTAATGGGCACATGCAGCAGGCCTCTCACATCCGAGGCAAGCGAAGCGCACCACATCAACCATGTTGCTGCTGCGTGACGCGACCTCACAGAGTGTTAGGGCCTTATGTCCCAGGCATGAGCCCAGTCCATATTTACCTGACTGCCCATCTAGGTCAGGCTGCATACAGGTACCTCCTTGAATTTAAAGCTGTGGAATATGAACAAGAGTCAGTTACCCATGCATGTCTTGGAGACCCCGAGACCAGCTGTAGGGACTGTCTCACAGAGTTAAAGAAGTGGGAGAAAGGATCAGCAGTGATTTGGAATCTGCATTAGAGTCTTGGTTTTAAATTCCAGCTCCTTAATGTAAGCTTTTCAAATGTTAATTTTCCTCATGGGATAGAATAACAGTAGTATAGTGTAATATATGTTGTTGGAAGTATTAAATAAATTTATATACATAAATTAAGTTACATAAGTGCTCAATAATTGTTGCTGTTATCTTTGAAAATGTAACAAACAGAATCATAATCAAGACGGACATAAATGAGAAAATACTCAATTCAAGAAGTTAATCAATGTTTGCTTGAAGATGTCAGGCTAAACACAGTGTTGGCCTCCATTTCCTCCCACAAAATTGATAGTAAAAGGGTAAAGAAAAAGGTATAAACCCAAAAGGACAAAGAATGTGAGAGAAATAGACTTTTTGGAGTTGGAAAGATGATGGATGACTTGACACTGACCTAGCCAGTTCAGTAAAGCAGAACCCTAAATCATCACTGAAGAGATCTAAGAAGCCAACCGAGTTACACCATGGCCCTTCTAGAGACTCAGGACCTGTCAGCACTGGTCACTGTGGAAGAGGGGGTGCAAGTGGTGCCTCAAACCCCTAGGTTGGTAGAAAGTTTGTTGAAGAAGCAGCTAGGTATTGAATTGGGTGATGGATACAAGTGGTGTATTGTATACCATTCCTTCTACTTTTGTGTATGTGTTAAATGTCCCATAATGAGACTCTTTTTAACGATAAAATTAACAACAAAAAAACTGGCTCTTTATGTCACCCTCCCCTCTTCATGAAGGGTGGGGCTGTCTCTCACCCACCTCAGCAAAAGACATGAGAGTGTTTGTGAAGAGAATGAAAGTCTCTGGATCGGGAGACATCAGACAGTTGAGATTTCATACCACAGCAGTTCTCAAAGTGTGGTTAGCATATCGTGGGGAGTCCTTGAGACTCTTTGGAATTCTCTGAGTGGCCAGATTGTTAAGTCCCCTCCCCAAAGAAAAAAACGACAAAAAGTCAGGTCACTTAGAAGGGGAGAAATAGTAAGCCACCCATAGTTTTCTTCATTTCAGTATTTGATGCCAGAAGACAATACAGCGACGCTAAAAGATAAACATAAAAAAAAGTGTGGTCTAAGATGGTTTTCTAATGTAAAGGATATGAGCAGTTTCAAACATCTGCAGTGTCTTTGATTTTTATATATGTTAAATGTCACTCTAATGTCTCTAGATGTGGGTTTTTGGGCATTATTTGAGCCCTTTAAATCTGTTTTTCATTTTTCTTTAGTTAAGAGAAATTTCTTTCTGTTATTTTTTCAAAAAAATCTGTCCTTCCTATCCCTTAGGTTTGTGTTTTCTATCTCCTTATATTTTCTTCCTATCCTTGGCTCCTAGGATAGTTTCCCATTCTGACCTTACTCTCACAAATTAATTCTTTAGTAGATTTCCTTCTGCTTGTTGTATCTATTACACTTTTATTTCAACAATTCTTTGCATTCCAGTATTTTCCTTTGGTTGTTGTTCTTTCCCTCCTCTTCCTTCTTCTTCTTTAAAAATAATTTGTTTCACATTGTTAATATATTCTTTATCTTTTTTTGTCCATCTGTTTTAATAATTTGCCTTCAGAATATTATATCTTACATATTAGTATACTGTATATATGTTATACATTATACTATGGTATATAATATTATTTATATACATGTATTGCTGGCTTTCATAGTTTTCTGAAGATATCTAGTTATTTTGTACCATGAGCTCATGTCCTTTGGGTTTATCAGTTATTCTAACATGTATTAGGGAAAAGCTGGCAGATGTATAGATCAATTATACTTTAAATAGCAAAGAGGGGTGAGCCTCAGGGTAGGGGCCCCAGAAAGCTGTTGTTGTTGAGTCATAGGAGTTCTTTATATATTCTAGGTTGTCAATCCCTTATCAGGTATATGATTTGCAAATACATTCCCCTATCATGCAGGTTGCCTTTTCATTCTATTGATAGTGTCCATTGATGCACAAAAGTTTTACATTGATGTAGTCCATTTTATCCATTTTTTATTTTGCTGCTTGTGCTTTTGATATCATATCCATGAAATCATTGCAAAATCCAAGGTCATGAAGGTCTTCCCCTGTTTTTGTTTATGAGTTTTATAGTCTTAGGTCTTATGTTTAGGCCTTGATCCATTTTTAGTTAATTTTTGTGTATAATATAAGGGTCCTTTTGCAAGTGGATACCCAGTTTGCCAAACTTTTCATTGAAAGACTGTCTTTCCCCATTGAATGGTCTTGGCATCCTAGTAAAAAATCATTTGACCATATATGTGTGAGTTTCTTTCTGGGCTCTGTATTCTATATTCTATTCTATTGGTCTACAGAGTGATTTATACCAGTACCACAGTGTTATGATTACTGTGGCTTTGCAGTAAGATTTAAAATCAGGAAGTATCAGACTTTCAGCTGTTCTCTTTTAAAGATTGTTTTGGCTCTTCAGGGTTCCTTGAGATTCCATATGAGTTTTAGAATGGATTTTTCTATTCTTTCTATTCCAACATCAGTGGAATTTTGAAGGGATTGCATTGAATCTGTAGATCATTTGGGGTAGTATTGACTATTTGACAATACTGTTTTCCAATCCATGAACATGGGATGTGTTTCCATTTATTGATGTCTTTTTAAATTTTTTTTGGCAGCATTTTATAGTGTTCAGTGTAAAGTTGTCATTCCCTTAATTACAGCTGTTCCTAAATATTGTATTGTTTTTTGATGCTATTTAAATGGGATTGCTTTCTTAATTTCCTTTTTTGATTCCCTGTTATTGGTTGGCATGTACTTTTGACTATAAGTTTTACCCCAAATTTATTTTACCTGTCTTTTTCCTTTTTTATAATTTCATCATCAATTACTGTGTTTCATTACTAGTTTCCTAGGGCTGCCATAACAAAATACCACAGATTGGGTGTCTTAAATAACAGAAATTAATTTTCTTATAGTTCTTGAGGTCAGAAGTTTGAGATCAAGGTGCCAATAGATGTGGTTTCTCCTGAGACCTCTCTCCATGGCTTGTAGATGATGTGTTCTTCCTGTGTCCTCACGTGTTTTTCCTTTGTGCATGTTTGTCTCCTAATTTCTTCTTACCCAATCATGTTGGATTTGGGCCCATCCTAGTGACCTCATTTTTACTTAATTACCTCTTTAAGACCCTACTTCCAAACACAGTCACATTTTGAGGTACTGAAGCGTTAGGACTTCAACATATGAATTTGTTGAAGGGGGACACACAATAAAGCTCATAACAGCTGTATAAATTAACAAAAATGTAGCATGCTATACAAAATGGAAGAGGCTAAGTAAATTTTGGCTTATGCAAGTTAACAGTATTTCAGAATTACATTTACTCATATAATATCACAAACAGTTACTGAGCACCTAATATGCAGGCATTATGCTGGATACTGGAGACATAGTGGAGAACAAAAAGTCCCTGTCCACAATGTTCATGTTTTCGTGGGGGTGACAGCCAGTAGCTGGCTACAAATGTCCAGTAGTGATAAGTGCTATGAAGAAAAAGAAGTCAGTGTAAGACATGCATTGTAAATTAGGGTGATTTCATCCTCAAAGGGACAGAAATTGGTTGTTGGCATAAAAGTCTTAGATATTTTAGTGGTTTTTGATCTTCCAGTGAGTACAGTTTATGAGCAGTAACTCTGTGGTACTAAAATTTGATGAGAGGGAATGACTAGAAGGAAAATATCTTAAAAGGCTCCTTAATTAAGGGGGTAATAATGATAATAATAGTAATAATAATAATAACTTTAAAAAATAATTGAACAACACTGGTGTGAGGAAATAGAGTGGAGGAGAGTGCTACTACAGAGACAGCAGTCACAGGAAGCCTTTTTGAAGGTGGGACATTTACATAGAGACCTGAGGAATCATTTAGGGAAGCTGAGTGGTAACGTAGGGAAAGCATTTCAGGCATAGTTAGTGCAAAAATTCTAAAACTGGGATGTACTGGGCAAGTTCAGAGAACAGTAAGGGGCAATGTGGATGGAACGCTGTGAGCAAAGGGATAGGGGAAGCAAAAGTAGTC